AATTTTGATTTCCTATCACTTTGGATTACTCACTTACATACTTTACTTACACCTGTTACTCTCAATGCAGCATAAGCTACTGAACAGCATATTCCAACTCACTCTCTCCTCGCCCTTCCTTTTTAGTTCTATCCAACTTTTGTTCATTCTTCTCATATCTGTCTCCATTTGTCGGCGTAATGTGTTCTTCGATCTTCCTCTTCTCCTTTGGCCTTGAAGATTCCATGTGAGGGTTGGGTGCTTTCCTCAATGTGTGTCCTACCCCATTACCAGCACTTCTTGATTTCTTCATCCTCTAGAATCTAGCTTGTTCTCTCCCACAGTAGCTTGTTGTTGATAGTGTCTGATCAACGGATCCGAAGTATTTTGCGTAGACCTCAGTAAGTAAACACATTAGTCTTCTGGATGATGGCTTTCGTAGTTCTGCAAGTTTCCGTCCCATACAGTAGAACTGTTTTGATATTTGTATTGAAAATTCTCATTTTGGTGTTGGTTGACGGTTGATCACTTTGATTACAGAAACTATTATAGTAATCATCATGTTTAATTAATATAGCTATCCCGATAATTATGTTTATCACTAATTTTGGCTCCCATTTCTCCTTTAACTGTTGTATTTATTTTAATTGCACTTTTTATTTTGATACGTTACGACTTTGTTTAAATAATGACAAGATTAAAAGACAAAATGACATTTTTGACTCATTGTAGCTTTTGTTCAACATTAGTTTTGTCTTTTGATTCTATATGATGATTCTTCAGTGTAATATTTTATTCGGTAATAACATTGAATTATTTGAGTGTGGTGTGTTTGTTCACAATATCAAATTCTTGTATTTAATCACTATGAAGTATGGTCATCCTAACATGCAAAGTGCCATTTTGTCGATCGATAATCAAATGTGTGCACAAATCAAGATACAAATGAACACATTTTTGGTTAGAGTTATCATCGTGTTTAGGGATTGATAAATCTACCATATTCTGACTTTACTTCACGCGAATTGTATTGGTTTCCTATCCGAAGTATAAATAATATACGATCCGGATATAAAACAGTCGATCTTTTATTTGACTATTAAACCGTTTTACTTCAATAAAACCTTTAAGTAAAGATTGAGTACAACAGTATTTCAACTATTGTCATTAAATAACCTATTTTAATGAAAAGTACAACGAAACCAATCAATATTCTAATTAATTTTTTCCAGTTCTAATCAGAAGTCAAATATTAGCTTGAGTATTTGTCAATCAGAATCATCAGTACTTTCACATAGTTACTCAACATGATAGAACTTCTTTTAGAAGACATTCCAAATAAAAAGAGTATTATATCGATGGAAGTATGGCTTGAAAATGTATATCAGTCTGTAATCCACTTTATTTCTAATAAAAACTTTTTATCAGTAGTGGGTTTTGTGGAGATTTTAGTAATTTAATATAGTTGAGATCTTGAGTCAATTGAAGATAGACCACCATGAAAAACTTGGAAGCACTGGATGACCGTTTTGCCTTATTGTCGGGCTCCTCATTAGTGCGCTTCCACGATCCCGCCTCACGAGATTCGAACACAGCACCTATCAGTCTCGCGCGTGAGCTCTTAACCTCTAGATTACTTAGCCGGCATCCAACAGCGTTATTGTCTAACTTCAACCAATCCACGAAATTGAGCAACCATTCACCATTTTCTTCAGTGGGTTTCTATCTCACAACAAACCTGGTAGAACTCCACTGGTTACTGCTTCTCACTAGAAGTCCAGGAAATATCTCATGGAGCCAGTCACTAGTGAGTATATGATCATTATCAGAAGGGGGTTTTGTGGAGATTTTAATAATTTAATGTAGTTGAGATCTTGAGTCAATTGAAGGTAGACCACCATGGAAAACTTGGAAGCACTTGAAGGCCGTTTCATCTTACGGTGGAACTCTTCAGCAGTGCGCATTCACGATCCCGTTTCGCTAGATTCCAGCTTCAATTGATTCATGATCTCAACTATATAGAACAACAAACTTTTTATTCCATTTACCTAAAATGATTGATAGAAATGTAATTACAATTATTGATTTATATCTTAATTAATATATCAATACTTATTCATTGAATCTAATTTATTAAAAGTTAATCAGTTAACTGCATGTATATTGGTTGCTAGTCATGTATGGTATTTGGTTGGGGGAACGTTATAATCTTTCCACTCTTATCTTTTGTCTATCCATTTATGAATAACCAAACAAGAAAGAAAAACATTTTTATGATTATTGTTATTACGATTTATTTTGTTTTCTTTTTTAATTACTAATTAAATAAATAATTAATTACTCTTTATTATTTATTGTTCATTCCAAATGGAAGGGAAAGTATGAAATGGTTATTAGAAATATCAATGTTCTAACTATTGGTTTATGCAGCCTACTATTTTGCTATCAAATATTATTCATCAAAGAAATCTAATCTTTAAAATTTACCTTAAATGAAGTTTATAATGAGTAACCTTTGATTAGTTTACAGTTAAAGTACTGGAGTTTATCGTGAATATTCAAGTGATTATAATGTTTGAGAAGGTATTTAATGCCGGCTTAATGGTCTTCTGGTGACTGGTAGGTCATGGGTTTGATTTCCTTTGAAATTACAACTGCCTAGTGTTCATGAATCGTATAATATGATGATACCAGTGTTTAGAACTTCTTGATTTTCAGTGACAATCTAACTGGGAACAATCATTGATGTGAACTACAAAATTAGAAAATCTCCACAAACTTTCCATAGTAACTATTTTTCCAGTTGATCTAGTGGTTTTATTCATACAAAGTGAATGTGGTTCTGTGAAATTTTAAAATTATTTTACAAAATTTAAGCTGATACACTAAGGAAAACAAAAATGAAAATTACTGGTAATCATGTCTTAAAACTCTATTTCAACCCCTTCAATTCATGTTTACAAAGTATTATGGCAGTCAACTATCATTTCTTTCACGGCTTACTTTAAAATCTTTTTAATTTAAAAATCTACATAACGACACAAATTGCCATTTAGATTCTAAAATCCAATATTTAGATAGAATAAAACTCATTTGGATTTTTAATGTGATCATAGGTGACGTACATCTTATTGCTAGGATGACTCGTTGGCAAACTCAAGGAAGCCTCGAGAAGCCCAGAAAGAGCCGAAGACATTCCACCCAGTCGTCGCTAAGGGAACATTCTAGAATGTCGACGTGTAGCTCTCCTATGTGTCTATTGGCTATCCGAAATGATGAGTTACTTTCAACCAAAAACTATAAATGCATGAGATTTTTGTATTATATTTGACACTGTTTTGAAAAAAAATATTCCTACTTATTAGTCTTCTGTCTTCTCGTTTCACGACTTGTAAGGGTTCTACAGTTTGAGTGTTCACGTATTACGCAACATACTCAGAATCTAAGTTGGAGATATAACACTTATATTTATGTTTTAGCAGTATTTCATGACTTTAGGCTGATTTCTTAGTGACTAAACTTGCTCAGAACAATTTTCCATAAAAAACAGAATTATTAACTTACATTTTATTTTTTTATTTACCATGGAATCAAGTTAAGCAGTAGTATTCCAGGATCTACTTGTGCAAACGAATATTATTCTATCACTTGGTTTAGATAATAGATTTTGTGTTAAGTATGTTTCTAGAATCTTTCATAAGTGATTTAAACATTATGAACTTATCAAATGGTGTACTATCAATTAAGGCAGTCTGATTACTCATTTTGTTCTAACTAAGGATTAGTTCATGCCCATATTACACCTGAAAGACGACCACACTGTTTTGGATGTGTTAAGGGCTAATATATGTGTAAAATCATTTATATAATTCACTTTCATCCAGAATAATTTTCATCTTCTTAACGGTTCGTTTTTTAACTTTACAATTTTAGATAAAGAAAAACGAGTGATAGGTCAAACTATCCGACATAGTTGAAAGTCATAGGCTTGATCCCTGTTAAGGTTATGGATTAACAGTGAAAGGGGGTTATGTATTAAAATAATACACTCGTTTAGTGCTTCTAGATTTTCAATGACTGTATAACTAAGATCGGTCTGTGATGTAAATTTTTAATGTCAATAATACTTACCAACTCATATGGTTACCATAATAAATTGTTTTGTCTTTCATGAACTTTATTTCTGTATTTTATTTTTAAACACAACGATGTCTCAGTGTCTATATACCGTTACACAAGTATATAAAAATTGAAAGAGAAGAGTTCATGTCTCTCGATATCAGTATGTATTGATATGTTTATTTGCTTTGGGGGAAAAAGATTTAAAAAGGTGTACTTCATGAAAATATTTAAAAATACCTCTACATGTAGTCACCGTGAAAATTCCACTTTATTGAAAGTTTTTACTTCCACTGATTTATTGATGATTGATGTAGCTTAGTGTTTTGAATTCTGGACTTTGTATCATTATGCTGGATGTCTTAGTCATCAGTAAATTTGAATAAATCTAGCATCAATTAGTAATAAACCTACTTCGTAGCCGATTTTTTTAAAGTTTTATGGTCTTCATACATGTTTGCAACAAATAGTAAGTTTACAGTGTTTCTATCTAAAGCATACTAACTTGAACTAGAGTGATTTAAGGGTCTTTTCATTGCATATAAATGATTAAACTATTTCTGTTTTATTTGAGACAAGGCTTTTTAATTGTGAAAAGAATAATTGAATTCACGAGTTGATCTAAGCTAGACTACTACTGAAAACCTGGAAACGTTGGACGATCTTTTAATTTTAGTATGGAACTCCTCATCAGTGCGCATACACGATCCCACACACTGGTTTAACTTAGATTGACTCGTGAATTCAACTGTTAAAGTATTACAATCTTTACAAACTTCCATACTGAAAAGAACAATTGTTCAGTAGATAACCTTTTGTTCAACTAACTAAATTAATATCAACATAAATATTTTATCTTACTATTGCATAATTATTTCTCTTCTGTTATTATATTAATTTAGAATATATACGATTGGTGAATATCAATGCTAAAGGTGCTCATCTTTTCGGTGAAGATATAAATGATTTGAAGAATCAAATGTCATATAAAAAAGAAGTTACTCAGCGATTTGACAATTTAAGTTTTCTATTAGTAAGTTATTTGTCTTGTTTTATAATTTCATTGATTTGCCTTTAAATATATTGCGAGTTGAAGATAATGTTATGTCATAGCGTACTTTCTGTTAACAACAAACGTTCAGTCAATTGTTTTATCTGTATCGTCTTTGCTGTTAATTATGAATTGTAAAAAGATCGTTTTCTCCACTGAAAAGCATTTCCAAAATATTTAGTTTTCTTTTTTTTTTCATTACACACAATCAATCCGACTTTAATTTCTTTGAAATGGATAGCATGAATGGATCAATGTTAGACAACAATTGAAAACCTGGGAGCATTAGACAATCGTTTCGTCATAGTTAGGACTCCTCAGTAGTGCACATCTGTCCGGTGCTTACAAGTTTTCAGAGTTGGTCTAACATTGACTCACTCATCATATCACTCTAAACTCAACAATATTCAAAACTCTACACTGATTCCTTAACATGACCATAGTGATTCATACATTTACTATGATATCCTATAGATTCGTAAATTCACCCTTCAGTATATTTTGCTTACTGATAAAACAAACAATAGAGCTTTCAATATTTCAAGAGGGAATAAATTTATAAACAAACATGGTTAGTAGCTAGCAGTGAAATCCAGGACGCGCGTTTCGTCCTGTTCAGGATTCGTCAGCCGAATGTACCTGCATCTCAGAGTTGATGTTCACTCTGAGACTCGAACTCAGTACCTTTAGCTGCAGTAGATGAGTGGATAACATCATGGCGTTTGAAGTGAAAGGTACTGGGTTCGAGTCTCAGAGTGAACATCAACTCTGAGATGCAGGTACATCCAGCTAACGAGTCCCAAATAAGATGAAATACGCGTCTTTTATTCCACTGCTAGACACTATGTATCTCTGCTTATAATGTTTGTGTACAGTATGCACATATGCCAATAAGAGACTGATCAACTGTAGTCTTAAACATCAATGGGAAGATTCAAACAAACAATACCAAGTGAATGGAAGTAAATTTGTTTAGAAAAATTTCAATGGATGACAGGTTCTTTTACCAAAATAAAACTTCTAAACTATGACAATACAATTTATCTTTAAGTCGAATTGTCAGTGTTTATATTACTCACTTTAATTTATCAGTTAGCTTATTCATAAATGAAACTAAATGAAAGGATAGTGTAGGCAATATCTTATAACCATTTGATTTATTATTTAATTCTTTTAATAAATTGTATTTTATTGTATACAAATAGAAAATAATCTAAGCAACTGAATGTGAAATAAATTCAATTCTTTACCCAGAAAAAAATGTCTAAAACATTACAAGCTTGCTATATGAAATATTGAAATTATTTCAATTTCAATGGATTGTTTTACATATAATGTCTTCTTTATATTCAGCATTAAATCACTGTTGAGCTATTCGTTTAAATACTTGTATCTTCCCATAGTTATTAAGGACTGCAATAGGTCAATCTCTTGTTGGCATATATGCATCCTATGCGAACTGCCTAGATATTGCCTGAATTCATAAGGTTCTACAATTATAAATTAATAATCCATAAAAGAAGATTGGCCAAGTTTAAGGCAGAGTACATCAATTGAAGAAACTGTAATATGTGAATCAAGGATTGTTTGTCATATAAAATAAGATCGAATCGTTAATGTTTTTGGGATGACTAATATGAAGTGTTAACTTGAATCAGTTTATAGGTGAATTAAAATCGTAAGATAAATTATCAGAATATATATAGTTGACATGGGGGTGAGAGATAGAACAATGGGATTACAAATCGGAAATTACGTAATGTGTAGAATTATATAAATTAGGTCAGATATAGTAGATAGGGGGTGGATGATAAATAAGTTTCTATAGAAGGTTAGCAGGTGTGATAATAATAATAAAGATAAGAATAATCACAATTGATTGATCACTGGGTGGTGATCAATCTCATGCGTGTCAGGTCCTTAGTGCTGATCGAATGCTATCGATCAAGTTGCAATGTGGCCACATTACAGGTACACCTTGCTGACGAGTGCCAAGTAGCACGAAACCCGGGTCCAGGGTTTCCTGTTGACCACCTCCAACCACCATGTTACCCTAAAGATAAGAATAAGAATAAGAATAATGACTGATAAGATGTGTAGATAAGACTAAGATATAGAAATGAACATTAATCAAATTAATGTCACCTTATTACAAAATTGATTATTAACAAGTTGACCCTGAAGTTGGCCAGGGTAAAAGGAGTGGCTGTACATATTTCTTTTGGATGCAGAGCTCTGGCTTTTTGATCCGAATAGCAATTGCCTCAGCCGTCTGCAGGATTCTCTGTCTGACAGAATTAGGTAGACTGCTATTTACACGATATATTACTGTGAAAGATTGCTCAATGTCGGCTCTATGTCCCGTCTGAACTAAATGGGCTAAAACAGAGCTGTTAACCGTTCTGACTACACCTTTGCTTAACCACACTGGAAGGTGTTCACGAGCCCGAGTATACAAATTCCTATAGGCAGATGTTCTAGGAATTTGTATACTCGGGCTCGTGAACACCTTCCAGTGTGGTTAAGCAAAGGTGTAGTCAGAACGGTTAACAGCTCTGTTTTAGCCCATTTAGTTCAGACGGGACATAGAGCCGACATTGAGCAATCTTTCACAGTAATATATCGTGTAAATAGCAGTCTACCTAATTCTGTCAGACAGAGAATCCTGCAGACGGCTGAGGCAATTGCTATTCGGATCAAAAAGCCAGAGCTCTGCATCCAAAAGAAATATGTACAGCCACTCCTTTTACCCTGGCCAACTTCAGGGTCAACTTGTTAATAATCAATTTTGTAATAAGGTGACATTAATTTGATTAATGTTCATTTCTATATCTTAGTCTTATCTACACATCTTATCAGTCATTATTCTTATTCTTATTCTTATCTTTATTATTATTATCACACCTGCTAACCTTCTATAGAAACTTATTTATCATCCACCCCCTATCTACTATATCTGACCTAATTTATATAATTCTACATATTACGTAATTTCCGATTTGTAATCCCATTGTTCTATCTCTCACCCCCATGTCAACTATATATATTCTGATAATTTATCTTACGATTTTAATTCACCTATAAACTGATTCAAGTTAACACTTCATATTAGTCATCCCAAAAACATTAACGATTCGATCTTATTTTATATGACAAACAATCCTTGATTCACATATTACAGTTTCTTCAATTGATGTACTCTGCCTTAAACTTGGCCAATCTTCTTTTATGGATTATTAATTTATAATTGTAGAACCTGATGAGAAATTATTGAAAAGAATATTCTTCGTTCATATAATTGTTTTAATATGATGGGAATTTTTCAGCGATTGAATTCATAAGCTTAAAGCAAAGATGGATAGTGGCTAACAGTGGAATCTAGGACGCACGTATCATCCTATTTAGGACTCGTCATCCAGATGTACCTGCATCTCTGAGTTGATGTTCACTCTAGGACTCGAACCCAGTAACACCATCGCGTTATCCACTAAGCTACTGAGTCCTGATAGCCACTTGTTTGTAGTGTTTGTAAATGAGGGCTATATCGAGGCAATACGCACAGCATGCACATATGGCCATTAATAGACTGATCAATTGCAGTTCTAAAGATCAATGGGAAGATTCAACTAAACAATACCAAGTCCAAATAAAACTAGAAATTGCTATTAAGTGTTATGTGATTGTAGTGAAGTGTGTTAAAATAATGTTCTTAATTTTGCAAGAAAAGCTTCTATGATTTACTTTGTATACTAAACTAATTACCATCATTAATGTTATCGAAACCGGACAAAAGCGTCAATTGGAATATTTTTCTTTTGTATTTATTTTGATAAAATTCAAAGACGAATGAATCCTATCAACCTATGTGAATGCCTAGTTTATTAAAGTAACTAAAATGAATTAGAATAGATTGAATATATCATCTTTCAGAAATAAACAATTTATGGAAATGATTTGAAAGAAGCATGGAAGGAAAGACGATTATCTTATAGATTTTTAAAGAACAGAATATGACTGACTAGTTAATGTCTATCGCACTGCTGAGGAGTCCCATAATAGGACGAAACAGCCATCCAGTGCTTCCAGGTTTTCGATGGTGATCTAGCTTCAATTGACTGATGATTTCAACTGTGAAAATACTAATTCTCAAGAAAAACCCCTCTGATCTATAATCATATGCTCACTAGTGACTGACTTCAAGAGATATTTCCTGGAGTTCTAGTGGGAAGCAGTGGCCAGTGGAGTTCTACCAAGTCTGTTGTAGAGATATCAGCTCACTGAAGACAATTGGTGAACGGTCGCTCAAAATCGTGGATCGGTTGAAGTTAGACATTAACACCGTTCTTGCCGTCTCAGTGGTCTATCGGTTAAGGGCTTCGGCTCGATACTGGTAGGTCGTGGGTTCGAGTCTCGCGAGTGTGGGATCGTGGATGCGCAATGCTGAGGAGTCCCATAATAGGGCGAAACGGCCGTCCTGTGCTTCCAGGTTTTCGATGGTGGTCTAGCTTCAATTAATTCATGATTTCAACTGTGAAAATATTATTTAAAAACATTTAACGTCACATTATCATTAACGTTAAAACAGGAATGTTTAACTTTCTTTTATCATGTGGTTTCGATGTAGTCATAGTTTCAGATAAGGGTAAACATGAAAAGCACTTTTTGACTCTATTTAATTCTCGAATTTCAATAACAAACATACCTGTTGTAGTGTTAAATGACTGATATGAACACAACACTTTTGATTAATTCATTATTGATATGTATAATGAGTAATATTATTTTAAAGTTTTTCTTTTTAAAATCATTGAACTATTATAAACGAATGGGTTTTGTGGATATTATAGTAATTTTAATAATTGAGATCATGAATTAATTGAAGCTGGACCACCATGGAAAACCTAGAAGCACTGGAAGATAGTTTCGTCCTATTGTGGAACTCCTCAGTAGTGAGTATCCACGATCCCGCCTCGCGAGGTTCG